CACAAGAACCTGGTGATGTACTAAAAGATGGAGAGGAAGTGAGAGAAAAGTGCTGACAGTTTCTACAAGTGAGGAAGGCAGGAGTGACATGGGGATGAAGGAGAGTTCCATATCAGATCTGCACTCTTCTGATGGGGCGACGGCCAGGTATGTGTGTATTGCTTGTGTTATTAAAACTCAACTGCCAAAATAAGCAAACAAAAAAAATAATCTGACCTTCTTCTGGTGGAGATGGTTTGTTCCCATTTCCTTTATCCACAATCTTGACTCTGGGTTTTGGATCCTTTCTTTTTTCCAAATCTTTAACTGGAAGGAAAGTAGAAACACAGCAACATGTTATGTTAATGTCTGAAAGAAAATTTTCAGTGAGTTTTACTAAAACCTTTGCAAGTATTGAGAGTATTAAGTAGAAATTAGCTCCATGGTAGAATTCCACTCCCAAAGATTAGAACTGCTATTTTATTTTAACCTTGTCATGGGAAGGTGTGGAAAACACCTAAGGAATTACTTTGGTCAAGGACTCATTATGGGCAGCTGTATCTAATAAATTCAACCTTTCATCAACTGCTATGAAATCAGCATGATTACTCCCATTTTGTACATGAGGGAACAAAGGACTAAGTAATTAAAACATATTTCATAAAACCAGAAAGTGTTGGCTCAGGATTCAAGCCAAGTCTTCTGGTCTCTGAACAAGGTCAGTGAGTTGGCCTTTGTTCTAGGAAGATCATGTCCAGAAATATCTTCATTTGGAGTCGGGCTATTTGCGATAAAAGGTGGAGAATCCAAAATAATTTTCTTTCAAACTTAAAAAAAAGGGTCCCTACTAATAAATAGTAGTATTTCTTTGTCAATTTCAGTATAAAATTAATACTGAATTAATTAATACATCTGTACCAATCTACTCCCTCATAGCTTCACTTTCCACTGCTTGAAACTCCACAGCCATTTCCTGCTATTGCTTGGCACGTTCACTTGCTTGAGTCAGTCAAGACCACCACCAATGGCGATAGTTTCTGCACAAATAAAACCCCCACGAAAAGGCAGAAGCTATTTTATGATGAGATACTTCATTTAATTGTTGCATTCACTTCAAAGAAATCAGCAAATTTATTGCACCGTGGACTATGGAGGGGAAGGAATGATTTTCTCCGAACCACTGTTCCTGCTTTCTCTAAGGTGTTATTCCATTAATGCTATCTCTGTCATTCCCTCCTCTCCTCCTCTTCTTTCTACTGGCTTCGATCCCTTTGCTGAAAGAGTTTGAGACTTGCCAACTGCCAAAGTCATGTTGCTCTAGTTCTGTTATTTGTTTCCTTAGAAACCTTCCTTGGCTTTCTGGTACCCTAGAGGTTAAATTCCAAGATTAAAAATAAAAATAAAAATAAAAATAAAAATAACAGTACAAGATGCCTTGATCCTGCTATTCCCACTGAACCTTTAATTTTCTAAATCCTTTTTTTTTTTTTTTAGACCTCACTCTCTGGCTTTTTTATGAGTCTTGGCCACTTTGGAACACCCTCTTCTGTAAATTCTTCTCCTTGTGAGTTTTTACAAAGGCACTATCCTGGATTTTCTTGTACTCCTCAGACCCCTCCTTTACATTCTCATTTTTTGGCTCCTTTTTCTGTTTTCCATTCCTGAAACATGATCATATACTAAAGTTGCCTTGCATCTCCGTACAGCCTGCCTACACTTTTATCATCTCACAAGTGTAATGCTCACCCTCCTGTGGAAATTTTCCAAATCTACATCTTCAACCCCACCCACCCATAGGCCATGGCTTAAATTGCTTACATTCTGTAAAAGAAGGCTGCAACTTTAATGTGAGAACAATTGTGCCGAGTAGTGATAGAAGCAGAAATAGATCTGGCAAAGAATAATTCCAGAGGTGGAGACTGATGGAAACTTCACAGAGAAGGTGACATTTAAGCCAGACTTGGAAAGATGAAAAGATGAACACAATTTTGTAGGCAGAGATTAACAAAATGTCATTCCAAAATGACAGGAAAATGGTGGCCAAAAAGAAAGTTTGCCAAATAGAGCCATAAACCATTCTGATCTATATCTATATCTATCTATCTATCTATCTATCTATCTATCTATCTATCTACAGCAGTCATCTTTCAATTTTGCCCGTAGGTTACATATAAGATGTAATACATATGTCATACCAAGCTGCTGTCTTCCTCATGCAGGAGGCAGACTAAATTGGAAAACAGACTGTCATAAGCAAAGTGGCATTAATCATAACAACAGCAACCTTGCCCCTAGTATGTGCTGAAGTGAGTTAATCCACACAGTAATAGGCATATATCATTACTCCCATTTGCTGAAAACTGAGGCCATGCTTGATTTGCTTGGCCAAATATACACACCAAATCAGACATGCTTTTCTATCTTCAAACTCCAAATATTGTTTCTCATGCTTCCCTGTGTTCAGAAGATGGACTCATGAGGACCTCAAGTCTCTACACTAATTATAAACCCATGGGGCGCCTGGGTGGCGCAGTCGGTTAAGCGTCCGACTTCAGCCAGGTCACGATCTCGCGGTCCGTGAGTTCGAGCCCCGCGTCAGGCTCTGGGCTGATGGCTCGGAGCCTGGAGCCTGTTTCCGATTCTGTGTCTCCCTCTCTCTCTGCCCCTCCCCCGTTCATGCTCTGTCTCTCTCTGTCCCAAAAATAAATAAAAACGTTGAAAAAAAATTAAAAAAAAAAAAATAAACCCATATGCACAGCATTTGTCTAGATCATTTTCTTGGACCCAACCATGAAAGTCTTCCAGGGAGGGGAGACCAGACTGATAGCTCCATTTCACAAGGAGCAAAACAAAAAAGAAAACCAACCAAAGTTATTTTAATTTCATTGTTACAAACTTTTATTTGGGAAGAACTAATCCCTCCAGCTTGACAATAAAAACAACGCAGCTAAGAAATATATTTGCTTACATATAAGTTATCCCACTACAGTCTTAGTTAGACTGTCTCACTAAGATTATTTCAGTTTACGCAAGCTGAAAACTGCATTTCCTTCTTTTTTTTTTCAACGTTTTTTTTTTGTTTTGTTTTGTTTTTTATTTATTTTTGGGACAGAGAGAGAGAGAGCATGAACGGGGGAGGGGCAGAGAGAGAGGGAGACACAGAATCGGAAACAGGCTCCAGGCTCTGAGCCATCAGCCCAGAGCCTGACGCGGGGCTCGAACTCACGGACCGCGAGATCGTGACCTGGCTGAAGTCGGACGCTTAACCCACTGCGCCACCCAGGCACCCCAACATTTCCTTCTTTTAAAATGTTTATTTATTTTGAGAGAGAGAGATTGAGTGCATGAGCAGGGAAGGAACAGAAAGAGAGGGAGAGAGAGAATCTCAAGCAGGCTCTGTGCTGTCAGTGCTGAGCCTGATGTGGGGCTCGATCCCAGAATCTTGAGATCATGATCTGAGCCAAAATCAGGAGTCAGACACTCAACTGACTGAGTCATCCAGGGACCCCTAACTGCATTTCCTTTTGTGTTTTGAGTAAATAGCTACTGGGAAAGCTTTTTAAGGTCACCTGTTTCTTATGCTGCTCAATCAGCGAACTATCTGAAATAATCAATTGCAATAACTTCAGCCTAAAATAAAATGTCTCCTTGTCTTTTTATTGCTTCTCACAAATTTTAAGAAGTGTTATTTTGCTTACTCGGAATGTCCAAGGCCAGAAACTGAAATACGGTGCCATAAAGGGAGACAGAGACTGATTTATATGGAAAATAACATAAAAACCTTTTCCAGAGGCTCCAGACAATGTGAATCTCAAAAGAATGGCATGTTGAAACATCTCCCTGTCCTATTGACAGGTGGATTTACCAAATGTCTTTATTCAGAAGTTTTAAGAGGTAGCTGGTTTAAAAAGGTTTTTTTTTAATTAAAAAAAAAAATCACAAAATACATGTCCTAAAACATTACTTAGAAGAGGAAGAAAAAAAAAGGAAAGAGGGGCAGAAAATCCAGATAGAACACTGCTACACACAGAGTTCTAGAAACCACAGCCTCCCAGATTTGTGGATTAATCTAATGGCATGATTTTAAAAGCTACTGTTATTTGAAGTGTCTAGATTTGCTTCAAAATTAGGGCAGAGTGGTGGGGTGGGGGGATAATACATGAAACAAGACTGGCCATGAATGGCTCACTGCTGAAGTGACTGATGGATACTTAGGGATTTATTATAACTATCCTGATTTTTAAAATGTTTAAAATTATCCTTTAATAAGTTGGATTTTTTAAAGAGCCTATATTAACAATGAAGTAACACAGAAAGTTAACTAGGACAGGCCTCTTTTGTTTGCATTCACCATACACAAAACTTTCCCGTCCGCATTTAAATGGCCCCTCCCAGGAAGAGGGAGTTGCTGTGGTCTCTGATCATGAGAATATAAGGTCACAGGGGAAGGGATCTGCCATGTTCCCAGTGCCTAAAATAGGGCCTGACACTTAGTAGTCATGCAGTATATATTAGGTAAATAAAAAAAAAAACAGTGAATGAATGAATGAATGAATGAGTATCTTCCTGAAAGAAGAATCACTGTCTGTATGAACAACTTTTAAACTCAGTATAAGGAAAGGCTTTCTAATGCAGACACGGATTGGGCTACCTCGGAGCTTTCTCTCCTGCTTAGAATATCTCTGCAGGCCCTGCCTTTCCCTGGCTGCCCAACTTACTATTTGAGAACTGTCTCAAATACGAAGCCATCCCCTCATCCTAGCCCATTATTGGGGCAGAGAGATCACCTCCCTTCACAGAGCCCTGAATGTATGTCTCTAGCCAATACTTACCATATTCACAAATCTGTTTGTCATAGGACTTGGCACATAACAGGCCGATGATAAAAATCAGCTGATTAATTATTAGAAAAAGTTAAATTCCTTATTGTATAGACTGTTTACATAGAGGCTGGACTGGCATTTGCTAGGGATACTATAAAGAAGGTACAGGCATCATCTATTGAGTCACTCAGTAAGTATTTATTGAGCACCTGCTACGTGCTGGGTAGATGAGTTGTCTCGGTAAGGTTCAGGGAACAGTGTTAGGAAGAGCATTTGAAAAGTAAAAATTAGGGGCACCTGGGTGGCTCAGTTGCTTAAGCGTCTGACTTTGGCTCAGGTCATGATCTCGTGGTTCGTGGGTTCGAGCCCCACATCGGGCTCTGTGCTGACAGCTCAGAGCCTGGAGCCTGCTTTGGATTCTGTGTCTCCCTCTCTCTCTGCCCCTCTCCTGCTCATGCTCTCTCTCTCTCTCTCTCTCTCTCAAAAATAAACAAACATTAAAAAAAAAAGTGTGATGTAACTTTAAAAAAAGTAAAAATTAACGGATTTAAGTAGGCGTGCAGTGAAATGGGTAAAGGGAGAAGCAGAGGTGCATCAGTGACAGAAGGAACTCATGGAAGATTGTACTAAAATGCTTTTCAAGATCTCTTCAAATCTAAACAATCCAATTTTAACCTGTTACAATGTTTACTATAGGCAAACTCAGAGCTGGAACAGAGTCCCATGCTGACACTTTCAGAACTGTAAATACGTACTTCTGAATTGGCCTTGGGCTGGCTTGCTTTCTTTGTCTTTACTGTATGCAATAATTTGAACCGTATAATTCTGGTCTGGCATAAGACCTTGAATAATTGCTTTAGTTGCAGTGTTCTGGAGATTCAATTGATTGGTTTTTCCACCTATAATAAAACAGAAAGATAAATCAGTACTAAGAAACAGGTTAACTGTATACATTAAGAAAATTTATTAATCAAGCAATCAAGACATTTAAAAATATATACGATGGGGCGCCTGGGTGGCGCAGTCAGTTAAGCGTCCGACTTCAGCCAGGTCACGATCTCACGGTCCGTGAGTTCGAGCCCCACGTCAGGCTCTGGGCTGATGGCTCAGAGCCTGGAGCCTGTTTCCGATTCTGTGTCTCCCTCTCTCTCTGCCCCTCCCCCGTTCATTCTCTGTCTCTCTCTGTCCCAAAAATAAATAAACGTTGAAAAAAAATTAAAAAAAAAATATATATATATATATACGATGGTGCATATGTACATTGCACTTAACTTTAATATACTGTTCCTTCTCATTCTTAGCTCTACTCTTTGTATAACTTAAACAGTTGTCTAAAGAGGACAAAACATTTTCAGAAAAATCATTCATCACAATGCATTATTGCTTTTATATGCTAGGGAAAGTCATAGTACAGGATCAGAAGACAGTAAGCCCTTCCCATCAGATATATTCTTCAAGGAAAGAATTCCACTTAAAAGTGCAGGGATGGGGCGCCTGGGTGGCGCAGTCGGTTAAGCGTCCGACTTCAGCCAGGTCACGATCTCGCGGTCCGTGAGTTCGAGCCCCGCGTCGGGCTCTGGGCTGATGGCTCAGAGCCTGGAGCCTGTTTCCGATTCTGTGTCTCCCTCTCTCTCTGCCCCTCCCCCGTTCATGCTCTGTCTCTCTCTGTCCCAAAAATAAATAAATGTTAAAAAAAAAAAAGTGCACGGAAAGGTATGGGCAGACCGAATGTCATTGTCTACAGTGGAATTTTTGCTATAGTCTCTCTAAACTGAGTCAGAGCATCCCTGAAGCACTAGCAATTTAATTATCTCAAATCTGAGCATAACTGGCTCAGGATGTTGATGGAACCAATCATTGCCTGGCTACTTAAAAGTTAGCTTGGTTCATGAAAAGATTTCAAACCTCCATGATCTCTCCATCAAATTAGACTAACATCTAAGGCTTTCTTGGAAATACTGTTGATTAAATATTCAACTTTTATGCAAAATTCCAAAGATAGATTTCTTTTCTGATTTCTAATAGCACTTACTAAGTCTGAGAAAGGAGAAATTTAAAACCTCTGCCTCACTAATAACACTAATAGCAAAAAGGATCTGAAATTTGCTGAATGAATTAAACATAACACAGATTATAATAAATTTTAATCATATTCTCATAAAATTAATGATGTTATGTCTGAAATCTGAAACCTTTCTCTTGCCAAAACCCATTTCTTTAAATGCATTTATGTCCGAGATGTTAAACCTGGTTTCACAAAGTTCTATTGTTTAAAACTCATCTCCTACAAATACTTACAAATAAATCTTTCTTAATGTGTGCATCACTAAAAAAAAAAAAAAAAGTGTCTTAGGATACTTTGTATTAGAGCCCCACTCTGAGAGGCATAGGGTGTATTATTTTACTAAAGGCCTTGAGAATCTTGCAATAAAAAGGCTTTAAACTCTTTAAGACAGGAGTTCTTAACTATATTTGACCATTAAACCATTAGGTTGTATAAGAGCTGTAGCATCTTTCAGATTACCATGGACCATGCTTTGGGAAAGACTGATATAAACAATACTTGGAACATCTCTTGCAGTGTTCAAATGTCTACATTTTGTGTCTAGACGCGTTTATTACTCTCTTTATTTACTCTGTTTATGTTTTATCAAGGAGATACCAGAGTGTCGACACTGTGTTATTGGCTTGGGTCACGGCAGCAAGGACATGGGGTCACTGGAAAAAATGTAACAAGTATTCATGAAGAAATCATTTGCTTTCATTCTCAATTTTTAGTTTGTCTCTGGAGGTGTTTAAGCAAGAGCTGGAGGTCTGCTTTCTGGGTATGTTGTGGTGGAGGGGATTGAAAGATCTGGCTGAGCTTTGGTTCCAAAGCTACACAAGTCACTTCTAAGACTCCCTGATTCCTTTATGACACCTATGTGAGGTACTCAATAGTTTAGTATTATCAGCAATTAATCAGGTAGTTAAAACACTGATAACCTGAAGGAAACAAACAAAAAAAAAAGAATAACTTTTCAAGATCCAATATGGGGAATTCTCAGAGGTACCGCAAATTGGAAACTTGTATTTTGACCTTTAAAGTCATGATGTTTAAGAATCTCTTTAACTTGAATTTCCCATGAGGACTTATTTTAGAATGTAAACTGCATTTTCAGAAGTCAAAGTTATTTCAAAAGTGGGCCATGCTTCAAAATGAAAATTCTGAACCAGGCTTGAGAATGAAATACCGTTTTCTGCAAGTGAGTCACTTCTGTGGGCCACCATGGGAAAAGTTGGCATCGGTGACACTGAACCAAGAATCATTCTAAGGAGCCTATGGGTAATATTTGTTAATAGAAGAAGGTTCTTTTTTAGTAGTGGCCGAGCAAGAAACCAGGTGTTTCATCTGCTTGTTTTAAATCCACCACTGGGGGGGCGCCTGGGTGGCACAGTCGGTTAAGCGTCCGACTTCAGCCAGGTCACGATCTCGCGGTCCGTGAGTTCGAGCCCCGTGTCAGGCTCTGGGCTGATGGCTCAGAGCCTGGAGCCTGTTTCCAATTCTGTGTCTCCCTCTCTCTCTGCCCCTCCCCCGTTCATGCTCGGTCTCTCTCTGTCCCAAAAATAAATAAACGTTGAAAAAAAATTAAAAAAAATAAAAATAAATAAAAATAAATAAATAAATAAATCCACCACTGGGTAAAATGTCCACAACTATGAACAAGAGAGCATCTGTTGACCTCATTAAATGAGTTGCAGAAAGGTGTCTAACAGCAAGGAGTCCAGGTTCTTATAAATCTCTTTATCACCAATAAAGAGGAAAAAATTATACTTATGCAAATATATATTATACAGATGTGTTATATGAAATATTTGTTATGTACTATGTGAAAATGTATCCTAGGAAAGGAACTGAGGTCTGAGAGACGTACTCAAGATCTTCTTTAAATCAATCATGGGTCGGGGCGCCTGGGTGGCGCAGTCAGTTAAGCGTCCGACTTCAGCCAGGTCACGATCTCGCAGTCCGTGAGTTCGAGCCCCGCGTCAGGCTCTGGGCTGATGGCTCAGAGCCTGGAGCCTGTTTCCGATTCTGAGTCTCCCTCTCTCTCTGACCCTCTCCCGTTCATGCTCTGTCTCTCTCTGTCCCAAAAATAAATAAACGTTGAAAAAAAAAACTTAAAAAAAAAAATCAATCATGGGTTAATATGATTGAGCTCCTACTATTTGGCAGTCACTCTTTTAAGTGCTTGGCATTTATAAATTAATTTAGTCCTTACAACAAGTGCTTCCCAAATTTAATACGCATAGGAATCCTCTGTGAGTCTTGGTAAAAATTAGATGCCAGTTCAGTAAGTGGGGGGTAGGGACCAACAATCTGCATTTGCTCTCAACTGATGCTTCTGCTGCTGATTCCCAGACCACATTTTGAGTTCCAAGCCTTACAACAACTCCACGAGGTGGGTACTAGTGCTGTTTGTGCATCTTGTGTAAGAAGAAACTGAGGAACTGAGAGACTGAATAACTTGCCCACATGACATCTTATGCCCCACAGAACCAAGTTCTAAAAGCAAGCAGTCTGTTTTCTTGATCCCTTCTTTGTCTCCATGACCACCATGCGACAGTGGAGATTCCTCCACATACTCTGTATTATTTTAGTTGATCAGATGTGTACAGTAAAAACATAAAATAGAAGAAAAAATTCAACCAAAAATTTAATGTATAAAAATGTACATAACTACTTTATCTTCATTATCAATAAATTTAACTTTTGTCTTTCCTGTTTTAACTTATCACTTATTTTTATAATGTATACTTAGTTTTTATAATTTTAATGTGTAATTGTTGAATAATATACTATCAAGTTAATTAATCATAATTTGCTCAGCTGGTCACAACGTCTGCCTTCCAGATGTATTGGATTTTTTTTTAAGTGTCAACACACCAAAAATATTCATCCTATGTCAAAACAGAAGTGGTGAAGATTTTAATCTGGAAACTTCTCCTGCGGAGAATTATGGTGCGCTCAATAGTGACTCTTTAGACTTTAGGAACATTATTAGGAACATTATTTCCTTGATTAGAGGGTGAGATTTCAAGTTCAAATATTAAATTAAAAAGAAAACTTTCAAAAAATCCTCTTACAAATGATTTTAAAGCAACACTCAGTATTTCACATTTTTAGTTATCTATGTGTAAAAAGTTGCTAATACTCCACAAAATACAAACAGCTCTATTTTACCTGAAGCTGGAGTCACAAGAAGTTTGTATCCACCAAATTTTCCCCTTGGAGCCTTCCATGAAATCTGTATACTGTCCTGAGATAATACATTATATCGTAACCTTGTGGGTGGAGCCACTGAAAAAGAAAAACAAAAAATTGCTTAAGGATTGAAACATTTAAGTTTCCATTAGTTAAACTGAAGAGTCAAAGTAATGAAATCAAAATATATGACTTCATCAACCTCAAAATATGCTCTTTCTATAACCCCATTAATGAAATGAATTGATCAGTTTGCACAATGATACAAACCCAAGAGTATCTGTTTCTTAAGAGATAAGCATTTGTCAAATAGTATTGACCTTATGACAAAAAACTGTGACTTAGGGTTAAAATTTAATAATCTGGTCGACTTTAAACTGAAGGCAATCTTGCAAAATGTGTTCATTATGTTACAAACATTGTGTGTGTGTGTGTGTGTGTGTGTGTGTGTGTGTGTGTGTGTGTGTGTGTCCCTACTTGGAACATGTGAGTTTTATAATCTACTCTCCTGGGGCCTGTTTTATGCCTTCAGGTTTTTTACTTTAGTAATCCAATATATTTTATGATAAGGTCATTTAAGAAGGCTATCATGGACATATTAGAGTAATAAGATCTTCATTTAAAAATATCTGAGAAAGAGATTAAAAGGGACCAAAATAAAAAAGACCAATAAAAGATAATTATGTTTTATAAACTTTGATCCATTCTTGAAATTTGGCGGATTTGTATCTTTTGGCAAGATCCATAGCACATGGTCATGACTCATCCCAGTATATTTAATCTTTTCTGATAGTTCACACAATGGGTACGTCTATATTACTTTTTACGTATGTCATTCAAACTTCAAAACATGTTTTTGGAACCCTACTATCAGTGTCCCAGAATTTCAAAAGAAATCCTTTAAGAAGAAGATTTTAATGATATAATATCAAAATTAGTTTGTCAAAAAAGAAAAGCTAAGGTGTAACAGAAAAGTTAGCACTTACTACCCATTTTTACGCCCTGCTTTTCTTTCTCGCTTGAGAAAACACAGGGAGGGGGAGGAAATAAACATTCTCTTTCACAGGGATGTAGCATGACATGGAGTTTGGACACAAATTTGATTCTAGTTCTGTCACTTATTAGATAAAGAACCTTGAGTAAGTGATTGTTTCTTCCAAAGCCTTATTTTTAGAAAAGGTGACAGCAATACTTTCTGCACAACATAGATGGCAATAGACAATAGGATAATGGATACAATGTATTATAATAGGTGGTTAGTAAATGTTTGCTCCTCTTGCCCTTACTTCAACTAATGGGTGATCTCAAAAGCTCACTGGATTCTCACAAAAAATACACAGCTATCCCAACTTTACATATAAAGGAACCAAAGAGAAGCTAGAGATGTGTCCAAGTTTACATACTGGTGAATGACAAGCTCTGACCCCAAGCAAAATGCTCTGTTTCTTTGGCAGAAGAGCCATATTAAGAAGGCACCCTTTATTGAGCTAGGTGAATGAGTGATTTACCTCTCTACAAACTATCCACTCATTCAAAATCAATGAGCAGTGAAGGACACAATCAAGAATAGTTATTCTCTGGGGTGCCTGGGTGGCTCAGTTGGTTAAGTGTCCAACTTCAGCTCAGATCATGATCTCACGGTTCACGAGTTCAAGCCCCACATCGGGCTCTGTGCTGACAGCTCAGAGCCTGGAGCCTGTTTCAGATTCTGTGTCTCCCTCTCTCTCTGCCCCTGCCCCACTCATGCTCTGTCTCTCTCTTGAAAATAAATAAAACCATTAAAATTTTTTTTAAAAAGAATAATTATTCTCTTCCTGTTGTCCTTTACTACCTCTTAGCAGAGAATGCTAGCCATACAAAACAAAAACATTAGCTTACCATTCTCAATTTGACATGAATGGAAGAGTTTACATTTCTCTGGTTTATGGGATAATATGGATTTATCATAAGAACAACTACACTGCAATTCAAGAGGAAGATAGCTGAACCTAACATTTGGGTGAACAGAAAAACTTACTATTTTGCTCAGTGTGGAACTTGGGGAGAATAATGTATTCATAGGTAGGCTCTTATTACTTATGGAAGAAAATTTAAAATAAGAATTAAACCATTTTAAACAATATATCAAGTGTCTCCACCAAATCTTGCCAGTGGGCTGCTAGACATCACGGGCCAAGCTCATGACAGAGTTCTGCCTGAACGCCCTGGTGAAAGACAGCTGACATGCCTGGGAATCGTCAAGTGGAAAAGTACAGTAAATAGGATGAGGGCCTCAGGTCTAGGCAGTTGCAAGAGGATCAACCCATTCTGTTGGTACCCCAGGTGTGCAGACTTCTCAAGGAGGGCAAATAAGTCAACCCAGGATTCCTAGGTTAAAGATTAGAAATCTTTACAGCATTCTCTGGCCAGGCCACTGTTCTTCAAATGTGGTCTGAGTTTATAGCCTGACACGTTTTTTTAGTCAACAGCCACAGCCTTCTGAACCTCCAGGAGAAAGTGATTAGGATAACAATGGCCATGCTCTGATTCCATGCCCAGAAAATACAGAGGGTGCTCCAGACCCAGAGGGCACTGGCTTCCTTTGAACTGCTCAAAGAAATACAATGTGAAGCAACTGCAACAACAATATCCATCCACGTTCAACTTTTTAAACAATTTATAAATGATGCGGATGACTACAGTCCCATTACAGCTGCTAGCAAAAAGCAATACCACCATTTTCTTTCATCAACAGACCACACCTATTGCCTATATACGCAAAAATACTCTCTCAATCATTAAAAGAAAATCTTGGGTAGACACAGAGTTCACATTTCCTTTAGGTTTTTGCCTATCGGGGAAAAACAGTGAACAGAAAAAATGCTAGTTAAGAAAGAAGAAGGCATGAGGTCATAGTATCAAACTTCAAAATTAGCTCCTTTTTCTCTGTATGGAAGACACTGGGACTTGTGCCAGAGCAAGGGTAGCAAGACTGACAGAAACATTGTAAATCCAGTGCACAAATAAATGTCTCATGGAACAAAAAGTTGTGGATCTTTAATGCCAGACCCAAGCTTTTTCTTTCTGCAGCCCCAAGGAGGTCCTTCTATACGTATACTTAACTTCCAGTGATAATTACACTCTCTCTCCCTTTCAAATAAATAAAACTTAAAGTAAATTTTTTTAAGCAACTCCAATTATCTATTCTCTGCTCAAAATCAATCACATAAATAAATGGTGTCATGGTAGATAGAAATAAGATTCAGTTTCTCAAACATCTCACGTACTTCCCTAAAAGCAAAAGAAGCCAATGGCATCTGAAGTCTTTTCTTACTGGGATTTCCTCTAGCAGGTGCCCACCATCTTCCTTCTAGAAAGTTTCTCCACTGGACCATGCCTTTTCAATTCACCTCTGAGACCTCAAAGGTCCCCATCAGATAACCTCCAAGCACAAAACAGTTCAGATATATCCCCAGTCTCATCCCTTTCACCTAAGCTCCAGACCACCCGCTACCCACCAGACATCTTGTCCTGGATGTTCCACAAACAGTGGAAGCTCCACATATGTGTCTGAGACTGACATCGTCTTCAGATTAAACTTGCTTCATCATTTATTCTTTTTCAAGTTTTTTTTTCTTTTAATATTGAGAGAGAGAGAGACAGAGAGAGGTAGAGAGAGAAGGAAAGAGAGAATCCCAAGCAGGTTCTGCCCTGTCAGCACAGAACCTGGCGCGGGGCCAATCCATGAACCGTGAGATCATGACCTGAGCTGAAATCAAGAGTCGGACGCTTAACCGAATGAGCTACCCAGTCACCCCTATTCTTTTATTAATCTCTTCAACAAATGTCTACTATGACTGAGGCATTGGTCTGCATCAGAGATATAGACACCAATAAGAGAAGTACTGAAGTATAGGTAAACAAGCAATTATGACGCAAAGGTACAGAAGCAATAATAACACGTGAGTTGAAATTAAAGGTCCCGTCTACTGAGCAAAAAGCCTTACAGTCCTCTTTGATATTTCCCTTTTATACCTCCCTCCATATCTAATCAGGAAGGAAGTCTTCTCTCTTCTACCTCTGAAATGGTTCTTGGATTCACTCTCTTCCCTCTGTTCCCCCACCTGGCTCAGACCCTCAACCTCTACTTCCCAGACACGTTAGTATAATCTTCCAATGGTCTCTCCTACTTCATTCTTATTCCCCAAACCACTATGGGTCACAAATATGAGTAGCAGCGATATTGCTATCAGTGTCTCTAAAAACAGAGCTGTTTAAAATCCTCCACAATTTGGCTCCAATCTACCTTTCCAGCTTTGTCTTTTGCTACACCCCCACCCCACACACAGAACTTATACTGTGAGTTATCTGCCTAACTGACGGCATCCCTGAAAGCACCCCAGAAGGGTCTCTGTGCGATCAGTTACTCCACCAATGACGATTTCTGAATTAAGTTAGACTAAGATAGTGGCTCTGAAGGGCTTTGTGATTTGCCTGCTCTTTGTTCCTAAGGACCTGTGCTTGTATCCCACGGTTTCGATGGTGAGTTACCTGAGATTTCTAGTACCACTGCGGAAAGTGTTCTTACATTAATGTAAACGGGGTAAGCAGAATTTGTCTAACTGTTCCTTGTGTGTTGCATGAAGTAGTCAGAAATATGGTCTTTTGCTCAGTGTTTGAACACTGTTCGAGCCTGCCAAGGGTCACGTTCCATGCCTTTGCAAACAAGCACGCCTCACTTTAAGGAAGCAGGGTGTGGTGGTTCTTAACATTTGACTTTTCTACGACTGTAAATTCCAAGCATTAGACATAAACACTCCTAAAACAACTTTCTTTATCTCATTTACATTTCCTTGCTAAGCTGATGAATGACGATCTCTGTACCAACATTTCTGTTTCTGCAAGATTATCGTGTTTACCCAGTAAGGTAGTTTTGCTCATTTATACGCGTTGTGCACTTACTCCGGAGGTTAGCACACTTCTTCTGCAAAAGGCCAGATAATAAATATTTTAGGCCTTGGGGCTATACAGTTTCTGTCACAACTACTCAAATTCTCAATGTGAAGCAGCCACAGACATATGTACACAGATAGCTGCATTCCAATAAAACGTTAACGACAAAAGCAAGCAGTCTTCTGTTATTTGGCCCATGAGTGGTAGTTTACCCACTCTTAACATACTTTAGAAAAATGAGTCGAAACCAAAAATAAAGGTGCAGATCCCAGTAATACAAACAGTAGATTTCAAAAATGAAGTTCAATGAAAACGAAGCTAGAAATAGCCGGAAATGCTTAAAATGGTGTATCAGCAGTTTCTGTCAGACTCTTAGGAAACTCTACATTGTGTGCTCAATTTTTAAAGAAAGGAACAAAATAAGGACCAGGTATCAAGTGGTAGAAATATTTTGTAGACCTTCTATTTAAGAGACAAGGCATGACTCAGGTACCTACATACACACATTATAGCTCCTCATTAATGGAACTGATTTGGTAGCATGCAAATTTGGCTTCTGCCGATTAAATCTGCACAGCCTTTTCAGAAGCATGTGAAGAACGAGCTATTCAACAAACCACCACAAAATGACTATGCTCAGTCACTGGTGAGATCTTAACCGTCATCAAAGTTGTGTGGCACATTTCTACAAGGCAAACAGTTGGTAAAACTGAGTAAAAGCCAACATATGACCCTGCCTAGAAACACAGTAGAACCAGTGAAACACTATTAGGGTAGGTAAAATAAAAAATAATAATCGGAACCAGTGCAGCTAGAGTCCCAGCCCTAATGATTATCTTAAAGTTTTGCGTTACCTTGACCCTGGACAATGGTGCAAAAATAAGCAATTGCCAGAAAAGCTGGAAACAACCAGTATTGCATGTCGCACTGAAAAATCTTCATTTTATCCTCTGCTTTTCACATGAGATGCAGCAATCCTGGAAATAGAGAGCACAGGAATGTTTTGAGAAGCCTGAAAATAATGTATATGCGTCCTCTAAGACAGGCCAACCACCCAACATGGATTAGTAATGTCAGGAAGTAATTCATTCTCCCAGGCACCGTATACTTCACTCTGAAATATGAACTGATAGCGCCTGGGTGGCGCAGTCGGTTAGGCGTCCGACTTCAGCCAGGTCACGATCTCGCGGTCCGTGAGTTCGAGCCCCGCGTCAGGCCTGGGCTGATGGCTCGGAGCCTGGAGCCTGTTTCCAATTCTGTGTCTCCCTCTCTCTCTGCCCCTCCCCCGTTCATGCTCTGTCTCTCTCTGTCCCAAAAATAAATAAACGTTGAAAAAAAAAAAAAAAAGTTTAAAAAAAAAAAAAAAGAACCTTTCACAGAGTGAAATATGAACTGATAAAAGAAAACCTTTTGAGAAGATGCTGTAAATGGAGAGAATGATCTGAAAGATTTGGGAAAGAAGTTCAGAAAGTACTTTGTGACTCCTTGTAAGGCATAAATTGCACAGTGAATTTTCCAAATGATTAAATTCCAAAAGTTTATGTGAAATAAGCATTATAAATGAGACAATCACAATTTCCTTGACAGGAATGTGTTCCTCCAGGATTTTTCACATAAAGTCAAAAGTCCTTCTATTTGCCTACAAAGTAAAGATATATAGGACCTTTCTTCTGGTAGTTAAAGAGAATTTGAAAAACCACTTTGTGCTAATACTAAATCACTGTTCTGCCTCTATTTCACTGGGCTGAAAAATCTATAATCCTTTCACCTTTTCTTTTAACTTTTTTGTCCTACGTGTAAATCTAAAAACTCTTCCAAGGTTTTCTTTTTCACGAGGAAATCAATGAAAGAAAAACTCTAAGAAAAAGAGAAATGAAAAGGGGCAGAAGAAGGTATGTAAGGAAGAAAAGAGGGAGGGAGGGAAAGAAGAAGGTGAAGAGAGAAGAAGCAAGAGTGACTGGTCAATTTACGAGCGCAGTCTACAAATTGTTGACCATAATTATTTTATAAGCCACTACAAAGGAGAAATTCCAAGAAATTTCCTCAAAGGATAAAAAGACATCTGAAAAGTTTTCTTCTACCTAGGGCATTTTTTCATTCATGTATTCATTCATTCATTCTCCAATATTGTTTCACAAAAGATCTGAGGCAAATTTCAGATAAATAGCAAATAATGTTTTTACTATGTCCACTGTGATATTTAGAACATATTTAATTACACAATTTATTAGCAAAATTGTGTGATCTCTCAGCTTAAACCTTATCTTTCTTGGTTCTTGCTCCCTTATCAGTATTCAAGGGGTGTGTTTCTGACTTCTCTTCTCCCTCCAGAATGGAGAATCTATATATTTATCCATTTTGCAGGGGGTTTTTTTGAGAACAAGTTTTTGTTTTGTTTTGTTTACTCATCAATGCTATGTTTTGTTTTCTGATTTATTTCTGTGCGTATCATCAGGAATTGCTTCTTTTTGCTTTTCTCTTATTGTTTTATTTGCTTTCTGTTTTTCTTTGTGATTTTGTTTTTTGTCAAATCTTAATGTAATATTATTCTTTATTTGAGGCCATTAATTTTCCTCTGAATATGCTTTGGCCACATCATATAAGCTTCAACTTCCTTTTTAACTGAAGAGTTATTTCAGTGAATGTAGTAAAGCCTAAAAGTCTATGAACAGAGAAAGCAATAGGACTAATGCATTTAAACCTCTGAGATTCTGGTGTAATTCCAGAGTAATACAGTGTATATTCAGAGGAATAAATTGTATTTCCCTCAGGCAATCATTCAAAAACAAATTGGGGGTCAAGTACTTTTTGTATAATACCCAATGATAGTCTTGTGTACAACTCTTTTGTGTTGCCAATAAAAGGGAAATCTGTAAGCTTTGATATTCATGTAAATAAACAAGCTAAGATCCTGTAATAAAAATTTTTAAATGTGCTCAATTGTGCCTAGAGACCCAAAAAATATCTTCTCCTATCATCCTACCATAGTTCCAAAATACTAATTACAAAAGAATATTTCTTTGGGGCACCTGGGTGGCTCAGTCGGTTAAGCGTCCAACTTCGGTTCAGGTCACGATCTTGTGGTTCGTAGGTTCGAGCCCTGCATTGAGCTCTGTGCTGACAGCTCAGAGCCTGGAGCCTGCTTCGGATTCTGTGTCTCCCTCTCTCTCCACCCTGCTCACACTCTGTCTCTCTCTCTCTCTCTCTCTCTGCCTCTCAAAAATAAACATTTAAAAATTTTTTTTCAAAGAATATTTCCTTGGACTGAAATATTCACATACTGGAGGCTCCTTAAAATTCCAAATGGAAAGGCAATACATTAAGTGCCTGTTCTAAAGAAAGAACACAAGGGCTTGGTGGTTAGAAGCGCATGGGATTGCCGTCCGATCTTCAGCCAGGTCACGATCTCGCTGTCCGAAGTTCGAGCCCAGCGCAGGCTCTGGGCTGATGCAGCTCAGTGTCCTGAGCCTCAACTCGAATTCTGTGTCTCCCTTTCTCTCTGCCCCTCCCCCGTTCATGCTCTGTCTCTCTCTGTCCCAAAAATAAATAAACGTTGAAAAAAAAAAAATAAAAAAAAAAAAAAAGAATAAGCAACACATTAAGTGACTAATATATGTATTTATTATATATATATTTAGCCTTTTAGCATGGGTTGATTCACCACAGATTAGTAAACCAACCATTTGTTAGAACACAAAGGAAATTGAATAAACAGTGAGCAAATTTTGATAAATTAAAGGAGCAAAGACCTTGGGGCATATATAGAACCCTCACTCTACAAAGGCAAGAATAAGATTAGATGGATTATCCAAAGAGATATGAATGGCACTTATGTAGACAGAAGGCATGAATACAAAGGATTTCAAAAGATATGGGAGTGGGCTTCAGCCCTAACACAACCAAGAAATCAATAAATCTGCCAGTCACCCAGACAGCTGTCCTGTACAGCCCCCAAAAAACCATACCAGCAGAATCACCCTCTCAACTCAAACAAAATATTCTAAGATTTTGTACCCCAACATTATAACTGTAGGTTTCAACCAGAACCAGGCAAGGGGAAGAAAGGTAAGGAAATAGGCCACATTTGTGTTTCTGGCATACATTTTAAGATCAGGGGACTTTTGGGGCGCCTGGGTGGCTCGGTCGGTTAAGCGTCCGACTTCGGCTCAGGTCATGATCTCACAGTCCGTGAGTTCGAGCCCCGCGTCGGGCTCTGTGCTGACGGCTCAGAGCCTGGAGCCTGTTTCAGATTCTGTGTCTCCCTCTCTCTCTGCCCCTCCCCTGTTCATGCTCTGTCTCTCTCTGTCTCAAAAATAAATAAACGTTAAAAAAAAAAAAATTAAAAAAAAAAAAAAGATCAGGGGACTTTTGGTTAGATACCACACGATAGGATTTTAACATAGGAGAAAACGATCCTTTTACAAACCATAAGCCAAAAGACTTTCTCTGTTCTCTTCAAAACACAAGTCCTGTGTCCAGGTGTTTTGAAGCAATAATTAACGCAACACAATGGAAGCTAATTTGCATTTCACAAAATTTAATTTTAATTAATTAATTAACTAATCAACTATTCTACCCTACTCTTGGTAATTTAAAAACAAACAGTATTATTTAGATGGAAAAAATTGTGCCATAGCTTATCTTTAAATCTTCCTTTTTGTTGTTTACTTTAAATTAGGATGAGTAATACCATATTGAGAGAAGTGGAATTTTAGTTTTCCCAAGGTTTTCTGCCAAGTCTCCAAATTTTTGGACAGTAAAATAGGGGCAAGAAGAATCCCAATTCCTATTAAAGTGCCATGAGACACTTTAACATTTACCAAAATGTCAAAGCCTAATTTGTTGAAACTTTGCCCAAAATCCTGCCCAACACAAATAACTCTGCCTTGTTTTTT